GGGGGGGGAGGGGGAGGGGGGGAGTGAGGAGGATTTGAAATCGAATCAATCAAATTCGAATTGGACTTCCTGGTGCACTGATGTCCTCGTGGAGACAGAAATGAGAATCTTCCTTGGAGAAGTTGATTTCGTTAAGAATATTATAAGTGATCTAGTTGAGTTAAAAAAAATGTTTAATTTTACTAATAATTTTAATAAAATTTTTTTCACAGATAAGACGGGAGGATCCGGACGGCGATTATGAAAGTGGAAGGTGGGATCGCCACGACAACTGTGCTTCACAAGGTCAAGGTCAAGGAAGAGGCCAAGGAATGCTGTGGCTTCCAACAAAGCCCACAACCTTCCTCGACTACCCCGACGACGAGTACGGGTACAACAAGCAGCAGCAACAGCAACCCCAGCACCGTAGCTACGGTGACGGTGACTGTAGCAACCACCATACCCGTCACGAGCAGCACCACCGTAGCAGGTACCGCATCGACGACCACGAGTATCGGAACCACGAGTTCAACCACCACGAGCTCGGGAACCCTTCAACCCTCGAGTATTATTTGCCATCCAACTACCCTGACGTCGAGCGTTAATAACAATTTGGAGCCGTTCCCGGTTGACCTGGATATCAAGAAAGGAAAGGGTAAGTGTATTGTTATACTTTGTTTATTGGATACTGCTGAAAACCGATGCCATGAGATGTTAATAAAATAAATATTAACCCTTTCCCTGATACTGACTTGACAGACCCTTGAGACATAAAGAAACCTTGTATGATTCTAGGATATAAGGAGAGGGTGCGCTACGTTCTATACTCTCTACGTTTTCTATAAAGACTTTTCTCTACGTAGATTTCCCAAGTAGCTGTGGGCACATCGTACATTAGTTCTGGATATTGCATGGGGGTACCCGTATAGCCAAAGCCGCTGGTATGCTCGCTGAAACCGTACATTTCAAGCTATCCGGTTATCTGCAGGAGAAGCAAGCCCGCAGCCGACCTCAGACAAACCCTCTTCTCTTCTGACGCTGGTCGAGAAGGGAGTCTATCTCTTTCTGTGAATTAGTCAGGACGTTCCTAATAATTAGACAGTATAAAAAGAAGGTACTAAATGGCCGAGAGAATTAATTCTTAAGGGAAGAGAGAGAGAGAGAGAGAGTGAGAGATTGTTTTAATTGATTTATTAGACGATTATGAGAATTTCTCTATGATCTTGTTCTCACAATTATTTACTTATGGTCGATGAAATTTCAAGAGCTGTTTTACGTTTCAACCGTTCATATATTGCACTCTACCATAGGTACACAGATATACGCACCCCCCCCCCTAGGGCTGGTGAACTTTACCAGCAAGCAGTCAGTCAAGCCGGCTGGGGTGGTTGGTTAGGTTGGCTGCCTGGCTGACTGCCTGGTCCAGACGCGATAAGGCACGTCCAACACTTCCAACAGGATTCTGCTCTCGGCTGATATCATATCCGGCATCCGCGACCTGGCGTCCTAGGTATTTTGCGATAGTCCTCGTTGACACTGGGATATGCTCACAATCCTGATTCCTGGGTACCTTACGTTACTTCAGCTTTGCCAAAACAAGGAACTCCACTAAGGATAGTGGTTTGATACTTTGAACCCTTGTCAACTGTGCATTTGTTTCTTTGTTCAAGAATGAAAGATAATGAGCAAAAGAAAAATCAACGCCTATTAGAGGATCTAAGGACCAATCCAAGTCCATGAGAGTAAGGCAACCCTTCGCAGAAAAAGAAAAGTGAAGGATAAGAGTGATCGGCTTGCGCCTAAATAAAATAAGGAGCAGTGGGGTCAGGTGTACAGGGAAGGAGGGATCGAATTGCTACAGGAAAGTGGGAGGTAGGCCAGGGAGGAATTGCGATCAAAGCCATCTGTTGCATTGTCCCGGCAATTAGGAGGCGACAGCTGAGTCCCGCCATACTTACTTTCTTCAGGGACACTCAACTGATCCTGATCCCAAGCAGGTACACCCTGGAAGGTATTAGACACCCTGGATGTGATAAGGTACAAGGCTCTTTTTTTCTTAAATTGAAATCTTGAAAGAATATCCTCAATCCCCATATGATGTACAGGCTGGCGAAAGGGATGAGAGTTAAACTAAATCAGTTGAGAATCACTGGAGGAAGTAACAGCTGGCCGAAGGGATAGTAACATCAGCAGCAGTGCTGGCACCGGCAGTAGCATCCGTGGCACCGGTGCTACCATTACCATCACCTCGCCTGGATGCCATCCGCGAAATCCATATGCGGAAAGACGTACGATCCTTGTCCAGATAGGACCGGTCCAAGGACGCGCATTTATCTCAGCAAGAAGACCATTTTATATATAGGGTGGCACAGTATACTCTGTTACATCGCACAAGCTAGACTCTTTACTGTCTAAGCAAAGCTTATACCATAAGTAGATACTTTTATAAATACTGTTACTTTGCGATAGGTTATATATTAAGGTCGTACAATTTGTCTCACTGAGAAACATATATCACATAATCGTATCCGGTACAATCCTATAAAGGTATCCGGTGGCAGGTTAATAGGCAGCCCCGTGCAGGATTGCCCGGCGCAGATTTCTACCTGCAATATAAAAGATAGGATGAATCCAGCTTATCTTGGCGGCTGATTAAATCATGGTTCGTACGATTTTATCGTATTAACCAGCAGGATGATATCGAGCGGGAATAATAATTCCGGGCATTAAACACAGAGGATTAAGAGAGATTCAGAAAGAGGAATTCACTGGCTGCTAAAGATGGCGCTCCGCTTGTAGGATAAATCTCTGGCTTAGTAAAATCTGTCTATACGATATTCAGGAAACACTTGCCAGATATGTCTCTAGATCTATAATACCTAAGGCGCTTTAGCTTGCTAGAGTTCAGGTACAGGTTATTATCTATTTGCGAGCGACGTCAGGTGGCTATGACACAATGGCACCACCCTACTCCTATATACTTGTTCGATATCTGCGTTCACCTGCTTCACGTATTTATGTACATACGTTGTAACAAAATTCCTCCATGCACGGGCTATGCGAAAGCGCGTACCTATATCACAGTCTATGCGGTTAATGTCGGTAGTTTCACCCCGGTACGGACACCTTAAAGCCACTATGGGGGCACAGATCCCATACGTGCCAATGGATACCACATGTGTGTACATACTAAGTATATATATATATATATATACACGTGTCTGTACACATATATATATATTTACATTAACGATTCAACGAATCGGAGTCCTTGATTTCTTTCACTGCGAACAGACTGGGTACAGATTCTGGTACGCTGGTTTATTTCTGTCTTCGTATATTATATAGAAATATATATATCCTGGTCACGCGAGAATCGCTCCCACAGGCTCTTTGTTATGGCCGGAAGGACTTGCGGAATGAGAAAGGATAACAATGAAGATAAGCCAGGGACACCGGGAGGCTGAAAAAGTGCCAGGAAATGTATTAAGAACTGTTCCCAATCGAATTGGGCAATAGTCCTTAATACGGTATGGTTCTGTTTTTTGGTCTTCCTTTTATTTTCTATTGTAACGTCAAAGAGTGGATGACTCCCCGGATTCTGGAATGCGTACGGGACATGTACGTTCGCTGTTATCGGTATTTCCCTTCGGTTCTGTAGTTTCAGTTGTACCAGAGAGGCTTTGCATTCCGCGAGACACCCTGGGAACGGAATGGGAACGAGAGACAACGTGGATGACACGGCCCGTAATTGCATGTTATCCAGCTCCACGCTCGTATGCGTCACTATATTCGTAACACGGCCCTCTATTCGTTGTTAATGCATATGCACATATGCTCACCTCTAATATCCATTTATTCGTATAGGGAAGCTACGACTTAAAATTTTTCACCTTTAATGCCAATGGTATGCTTGTACAGGTACCAGGTACTCTTTTCGTCCTTATGCAGATACTAATATATATACATAGAGGTATACTAATTTATATGGAGCACGATACACACTAAATGCATTACAGATGTATCATATGTCTTCCCGTAGCGTTTAAAATCCCTGCGGCAAGAGTTATCGTGTTCTGTGAGGTTCTTACTGGCACTGATAATCGATAAAGGATGATTGTCAGGCAGGAATGATATTTATGTATAGAGGCACTACCTACACTTCTGGATTATGCAGGAACGGATTCGTTGGCCTTTCGCTTCACGGTATCCGGTCGATATCTACGTACTCTTTGGTGTTCGCTGTGTTAATATTAATCTGAAAAATTTCTTCTTATTCCAGTTCTCAGTCTGGTCTGCTCGTCGAGGGAGAAATCAAGGGACGAGGATTCCACGAGGGACTGCAGACTCTCACCCTCGTCGCAGAGGTCGCTCTTGCAGACCACCAATGGCTCCAGTCGAGTGGATAACAAAGGTTCCTCCAGGTCTTCGGACAGCGAGAGTCCCGTGCCGTCATCTCAAAGTCATCTCAAGTCCGAGAAGGAGGACAGCAGGCTAGATGATTCTCAGCAGATCGAGGCTACCGGGTCTGGACTGTCTAATGGAAACGGCAGAGGCGTTTCCGGTGTCTTTGGCGGCCATGGGAAACTTAAGAGGCTGCTGGGTACCCTGGTCCAGTTCGCTACGGATATATCACCGGATACCGGAGATACAGTCAGATCATTGGTACTGGGACTGCTGGTGGGTGCAGAAGTGATGACGGATCTTTTTTTTATATTATATTAACCTCTGACCTCTGGTTGTACAAAAAGGAAGGGAAGGCCTAAGGTCTGCAGAAATGCATTTGAGAAATCTCAGCAGACGTTGCATCCTCAAAGGAAGGGTCTACGACAGCTTTGACCTATTAGAGAGCTTCCTCCTCCATAAATCATTCAGCGTTCTTTAGTACTGGCTCCGTCCGGCAAGAAATCGTTAGCTCACCCTATACCGACCTGAGAGGGCGACAGATCCTTGGGGTTGGAATAATGTCACGGGAGAGCTTTTACCTTGACAAACAAAATCATCTGTGCAAGCATGAAACGCCTGAGCAAATCTCGATTTTCCACGGTGTATGTACCTAGCCAAGGGTCGGACTCTCACGCTTGAATTTAACGAGTTTTCTCACCTCCGACCTTATCCCAATCGTCTCCCTCTCTCGCTCCTCACCTCCTCCTTGTGCTTTATTGGTTGAACGATCAAGCTCTTGCCGCTACGGAAAGCACGTTCTTAGCTGGTGAAAGTGTGACAGGAGAGAAGCAAAATTTTTGGCGTTATGAAATCCTTGCATTTTTATCTTTGCAGAGCGGCACCATGACTGCTGAGGAATTTCACTCAGCGCTTCAGGACGCCACGAATTTTCCTCTGCGTGGATTTGTTTTGCCATATTTGAAGCACACTCTGCCGTCTTTGCAGAGGGATCTGAACGGAGCAGCCAGGGCAAATAATCAGGTGAATTTCGAATGTATTCATAGTGCAGGAATCTGGTGACTGTAGGTACGAGACAAAATGGCTGAGGAGGAACAGAACTGTTTTACTAGAAGGATGGGCTATTTTTCTGTATCCCTTGGCAATTTTACTTTCCTTCAATTTTCTTCTGGCACGTGTCCCTCTTTAAGGGACAATGACATTTTCATTGGACGAACGCTCTGAATGTAAAACACTCCAGAAGATTATCCAAGCTGTATTTGTATTCAGATACTGACCAGGACCTTCGGCCATATTGCGTGTCGTTATATTTTATATCCTGTGCGATCCTACTTTGTTTTATCTTTGATTTTCATACGTCAAATGATATTTGTACACACATAGCCATCAGAAAGATTCATTTTAATGTTGCCCAGATTGAATTGTCGTGTTGAGAAGAATAACAATGACCTCTATTTACACGCAATCGGGGTACTAAACCACTGAATATATGCGTGTGTCCGTATGGCAATTGGGAATATAAAAGGTATAAAAGGGTGACGGATTTAATGGTCGGGTTGGCAGATAGATTAGGTTGCGCGGGCAATAGAGATCTCTGTAGGCAACAGAGAAATAGGAATGTATCAAGAGAACGGTGGAAAATCAACAGAAACAGTCCCGGCCGGCTGGCAGCTTGTTTTAATTTCCCAGGCTGCCACGATCGCGGGTGGGAGACTCACCGAGCTGTTTCCCTGGAAGATGGATGAATCGAGGCAGGAACCTCTAGCTACACGTCTCAAAACCCAAATACCTCTGCTTCTCCTTTCTCAATTTGCATGATTTCCCCTTCGGGCCTCACTACCGGCTGGGGACCGTAGTATACTTCAATAATTCCGTTCCAATGCTTCCAGAATGTTCTGCACTGTGGGCAGTCGACATTTTTTAATAAAATATTTTTCTCTATTCATTTCGAGATACAAATAATATTACTATACGTAATTATTCTATTGAAAGTGACACGCCACGGTAACCCTATTGACAAATCCCTAGATGTATGACTTAATCCTGAGCGTTGGTACGATATTGACTCGACGATCGGCGGTTTCCCACCCTGCCCCATAAATCTGCATTTCCAGTAGACACTAATCGGCCTTCGATTTTCGTAAATTGGCGAAATATCGGTTTGCTTCGCGACCTCCGTAACTGCCAAGGTAAATTCACGTCTGGTCAATGCTCATAGGGACATTTACATTGGATAAGTTTATTCGTTCCGTTTTGATTTTGATTCACGCCGTAACGAAGTTTCTCCCGACTAGATTTAAAGGACGAACGAACGGGTGCGCGGCGACAGTAAATGGCGGGAAATTTGTCTCGCGATTTAACCACCTTCATTGCCAACTATACAAAGTAGAAAATAATTATTTGGCAAAATTCCAATTTTAACACTGAAATACCAATAAATCTTTCTAATTTACGGTGGATCGTCATATTTTTCCATATATCTCAACTTACGCGTACATAACCGTCGTGACTCCTTGGACGTGCAAAACTTCACTCGGAAAGACGTCGCTCGCTAAACTTTTTTTTTGCAATCTCTTTTTCACGCAACTTTTACACCAACTTTCCAACTCGCTCCTCCGTAGGAAAGGACACGTTGTCTTTCTACATGATTATAATAGACTCTTCTTAAGTTATTATCAATAAAATTTTCTTGCTTCCTCTACCGACTCATTAGTCTAATTACCAAACTAATTATCACAGCAATTTCCTACAATAATCACCATCCACGCACGTCGTCGTCTGCAGAATTAAAAATACATTGTCAATAAGATCTTAAAGAAATGCAAATAAATTATTTTCTTTCGCACTAAAATACTTCGGGCGATACTCGCGTCTCTACGCAGGACAAAGTAGTAACGATCTACTGATAGTAAACCAACTTAAGTAGGCAGCATGCAATGGATAATTCCGTCGCAGGCGAATTTGCATGGTTTAAACAGGTGTGCGACCGTTTAAAAGAAAATATGAGCACAGCCACGCGTGTTCTTCCATACTACAATATATATATATATATATGCACATATATACATCACGGACTGAAGGGGAGCTGCGTAAAATTACCATGAAGAATATCGCATCGCTTTACCCGCGAGAGCTTGACGCACTAGGAAAATTGTGATTGAAATTTCGAATTTTCGTACTTTCAATAAATTACGCAGTATGACGTAACATCGGTGTCAGTACCGACGTTACGGGTATAATAAACGTACGTTATAGTATACGGTGCGGCGTCTACGCGCATGTGCAAAAACTTAATAAAAAGGTACAAGTGGAGAAGTCGTAGACTTATTCCGATCGGGATAAGGAAAGGAAATAGCAAAGTGGAAGGGAGGTGGTATATATTTGGAACCAAAGAGAACGGCCTCCAGCTGTTACCCATCTCAGCATCCTCCCCAGGGTCGGGGATGGAGGACCGACGGGAAGCCAAGGTAACGAATTGCAAATTAATAGTGAGCATTTACATTTTCCTCGCATATATATATATATAGCGATTTGATGTGACTGAGAAGAAGGGATATAGTTTTCACGATTTGGTACACGATATAACCAAGATGATTTCTCAGGATATGGAGGATCTTCTTAGTTAATAAAAAAAAAGAAGAAAAAAGTAAAAAACGACGCCGAGCGTCCCCGTCGGTCAACTTTACTTGGCTATCGATCGGGCAATCGTTAATTGCAAGTCGCGAACGGCACCGATATTGAATTAAGGACGATAAATCGTACGCTGCCAGGTTGCTTCGGTATTAAGAAAAGAAAGGAGAGCGCGCGGCAGCGGCTGCGTTCGCGCAAAACGATAAAGAAGCTCAAGCCGAATATTAAAAACTAAACTGATTGGAATTGCAAGCTTTTACGTCGGGCTTTGTCGTTTGGCTCAACTTTTCTCATTGTACGTACGATAATTTTCTGTGCCCTCTGACGTCTTATGCAGGTGGCTATTCAGGTATTTGACATTGGATAAACGTGGCGTCGCTCTTGGCTGATGTATTGAATTTAATTATTGTTGCTATTTGGAATATAATTTTACTTTTCTTTTCTTATTTTTTTTCTTACTGTTAACGAACAGACTTGCGCTCAATACTTACGGTCCAATGAGTCTACCGTCTTGGAAGCTGTGGGTCTGGCGTCATCTTCTGGAGATGAAATATTTACTGAGCAACCTGGTACCGCTGGTACCGGAAGTAGTACTTCTACGCATTACGCCGGTCGTACTGGTACCAATTCAAGTTCCGGTTCTATTCAGATCAACACGAATCCTGGTAGCTTGCATCATTATACGGGCACGGCTAATGCACCTAAACGTCGTGCTTCGGATACACCGTGAGTAATGTTCATTTATTGATGGTTCTTCTATCGTGCTGTTTACATAGGTTGTTTAGGTGTTTTGAGATATATTAGGAATTTTTAAATCGCGTGGCTCGTTTACTTCGATTCTTGAAATAATTTATATGGCTATGGGCACGCACACACCTGGCTTTACACGCACGCCTATTACATTTGCCAAACCACATAGTTTGAAAAATCTTGGCCACGAGCCTGTACGAGGTCGATATTTATCATAAGCTAAGTACCCAATACGCAGGATGTTATTAGCTTCCTGTGTTTCGGCACCAAATGACTTCCGGTTGACGAAGGACATGAAAAATGAGCGAAACTAATAATCGAACGTTTAAATAGGTACTATGAGAATGGCGGGGGCCCACTTTTCGACGATGGACCGGTATATGGGAAAAGATCAACGAATCCTTGGAGTCATCATCATCATCAGCAGCAACAGTCGGATTCGTATTGTTGGTATAATCCCTTACATTCATCTGGTGGATCATCGATACAAAATCATCATCATAGTCATTCTCATGGACCGTCGCCCATACCGCCTAGTTTGGTGCAGATTAATCAGCTGACGTCGTGTGGGCCTCCTCACGTACCGCAGACCCAATTGGGCCACATGCAAAATCCGAATGGACCCAGTCTTGATGATGAATGGAAGAATATTCATGTAATGCTTAATTGTATCCTGGGGATGGTCGAGAAGACTAAGAGAGCTCTGGCGATTTTGCAACGACGCGGATGCACCAGTCCTGCTGCCGCACCGACCATCGCTGCTTCCGGCGTCACGGCACAGAATGGAAGTTCCGGAAGTGGACCCACGACGACCAATGGTTCCCAGATGGACACCACGGGAAATGATCGTGATGGCAGTTTGAAGAGACTGTCTGGGGAGATTGTCGCGCAGACTATTCGTGCCACAGAGGACAGAGTCGCGGAAGTGAAGAGAAGGGCTGGTGGGTTTACCAATAGAGGAAATAGAAATTTATTAATGTTTGTAATTAAAATTTCCCTCTTTGTTCTAAATATTCCAGAGGAAGCCGTGCAGGAAGTAAAGCGCGCAGCTGTCGCTGAGGTACAGAGAGCCGTAGCCGTAGCCGTAGCAGAATCCAGGGCAACGGAACGTCTGAGAGTACACCGACTCCTGGATCTACCTCTGTCTCAAAGAAATCATGGTCTACGTCAAGGTCCCTTTCTTCGCGTTCCTGGACATGCAACTGCTAACGAACAGAGTAGTCGTACCAATAATATTCCATCCGCGACAACGTTGTCGGCGAACCCGTCCTCTGTTGACGACGACAAGGAGACTCACTTGACAAGCATCATGGGATCCGTACGTACCTACTTACTTCTAGAATTTTATGATTTTTATGCTTTTTGCATATTATATTCATACCATCCTGTTCAGCTCACAACAGATGAATACGTTACAGAGTTGCTGGAATTGCGGTAGACCTGCCCTAGAGACATGTGGAGGTTGCGGAGTAGCAAGATATTGCAGTTCCTTTTGTCAACATCGCGACTGGGAAGCTGGAGGACATCACGCAACATGCAACAACCCACTACCTCGAGATCCGCCAAGATCGTCCTCTAGGAGCCCGTCATCCTGCACCGTTCCCACTTCCGCTACCGGGTCCGGAAATGATAACGAGAGCGAACCTGCACCTAGTGCTGTTAATACAATCGTTAAGGGGAAATGACGCGACGGTAAAAACTATCGCGGATTACGTCACCACGGTAAACGTGACCCGACTCATGCGCGTAAACGATATTAAAAGAGAGCAGTAAGGTTGAAATTGGTTCATCCATTATCGATGATCTCGCACCTAGGACTTGATCTCAGAGTCATTCACATTGCTCTAAACTAAATGCTTATTAAAAATTCTTAGGCTTACACTCATCGAGGATTCGACGGTCCAAGGAAGTCAAACTCATTAATAGTTGTACTCATTATTTGCAAGGAGTATAATACACTATTTGCACCCTAAATGCACTGGTACTAGCAGTATTAATTATATTGAGCACTCAATTGGTTTAATTCCATTTTTTGTCCTCGTTTACTTATCGGTGTTACGGAACACGATCGACTTGATCGTGGGACTTTTATCAATCTTATACTAGTCAATTGATAGGATAATCAATCATTTACGACTTATGTAAGGTAAAAGTCGACAGCACTTCTTACTTTGTACGTACTGGTAAAAGTATCGGGTAGTTAAGTCTAGTCACGGAACGGTGAATGTACCGGATCTGTCATTCATTGATGACACATGTTAGGAAAACTTTGCTCAAACTTAAATTATGAATTACCGAAGTCTCCCTTAGAAATATTGTGTTGCAGGGATGTACGATGGGTTATAAAGTGTATTTACGAAGTAACGAAATACAATATTCTATGTCATAATGCGTATAAAGGATTAATGTTATTTATAGAATTGAATGATCTTAGTAAACACATTCAATTAATTTTTGTGATCTTGGACAGAAGGACACAATGGAGGATCACTTTTTCTTTGTCGATTCAATAATGCTGGCAAACATTGCTTTAGTTTTTTCTTCTTTTCCAAGAGACTCAGACCAAAGCTTTCTGCTTCTTGCAAAAAGGGGCACCTGTAATTTGGCGGCAATACAAGCTCCAGATTTTGTGGAATTTAAAGACTCTCCTGCTTCTGCTAATTCTTGCATGATGCTGATTCTCCTCTTTTCCTGCGCTTTGTCCCACATTCTCTCCAGACTTCTTGAACCGTGTATACCGCAGGCTAGCTTTGCCCAGTAACCTTGCAATCTTCTTATCAATTTTTCTCTGCTTTTTTCACCAATGGAGGTACTTTCCATGAAGACATCAAGGATCCTGCTACCCTTGGGATCACTGAAAAGTACAGCCAGATCTTCGCCAGTCGATTCCAATAATGAGTTTACGATTTTAATTGGCTTGTTGAACTTTAGTATGGCCTGTACTATTAAACTTCCATGAAGATTTATAGGCAAGCTTCGATCACTTCTTTTCCTATGGGATTCCAGTTCGTCATAATGTTTTAGTGTAGCTATGACTAAAGCAGTGGATGAATGACGTTCTGCTGGTTCATCACAACCCAGGGCTTTAGTGATTGAATTGATGAAGGCTCCTTGCTTCGTGCGTAATCTGCCGCAAGCATTGGCTAAACTAGTCAAAACTCCAGTGTAACCTTTATTAAGAATTTCCTTATAATGTAGTGATAATTCTTCAAATATCTGTTCAAAATTCTCCGTAGTACTGCAGCCATCCAATAATCTCTGGACACTGAAATTAGCTCCTTCCTTGAGCGCTAATATTTTGAGATGACCACTGAAGAATTTTTTATTAATCTGTGTATAAACATCTGATGGTGCTGTTACGAGACAGGCTTCCAACAATCGGATTGCATTCTCAGTGTCAAAGAGATTAGATAAATGGTCCTCCTCGTTAGGCGTAAAGCACTCCTGGATAATTTTGTCTATGATATGTCCATTTAATTCAGGATCAATGTCCTTTAAGGAATACAGGACGATTTGTAAAAGTCCTGACATTAACTCATCTTGTCCAAACTCAGGAAATTGTGGCCAATTTTGTAATCTTTTAGAAGCATTCACCAGTAGATCTGTATATTCTTTGACAACTTTCCTGCGCATGTCAAGACAGGGTAACAATTTCTTCTTATTCTGCTCTGGAGGTCTATCAATTAAACCTCCAAGAACTTCAAAAACAGTTCGAAGTACACGATTAGAGTAAAATTCCCAAGCAAAATCTTCCATATTATTGATAGCATATCTACACAGCTTCAAAGTAAGATCATTGTACAGTTGAACTTCGTTATCTTTAATTTCGACTACACCATCCTTGCTTTTAGATACTTTTTCAATAACAGTCCTATTACCTCTATCAGCACAAACAATAATAATTTTCTCTAGAACATGACTAGCGAATCTATCATTACAGATGGGTCTTAAAGAAGGACCAAAGGCATCAACAAGTCTCTGAATAGTTTCGATGCTAGCATATTGGATTAATGAATCGAGTACTCTTGATCCAATCTGATTGCGTGCATATTCAACCTCATGTCCCACAGTTTGCTCATAGACATTATTCACAAAGACTAATTTATCCTCCATTTCAGCAAATTCGTCACGCATTATTTCCAATATACGAACCATATAATTATATGTTTCAGAATCAAGTGAACTTCCATGACCATACTCTCCTTTGCGAGCATATTTCTTAGCATTTTGTATGAAAGACTTTTTCTTCTTTCTTTTATTTCCTCTTCCAACGGCGGTATTATTATCCCTTTGATCAGCCATTCTTATCAACAAACTTCACAAGCTTTACGTTTTAAAATGAAACAAACAACTTGCTGCGTAACCTATAAATCTAACTACAAGGTTATGTTGCCGGTCTGTCTACATCACACGCATGTGAGTAACAGAGACAGAATCATACTACAGCACACGAGAGTAGATTTTGGAACACGCCCTAAGTATCGAGATCCAAGCACGTGGGTGCAGGTATATTACAAATAGTTGATATCAGACTGGACTAGTTTGGCAGCGATTCCGGAAGCGGTGGCACGTAACACATGTAAGTTTCATATTTAAATCCACATACTTTTTGTAGTAATGAGTGTCACGAACAAAGAGAATGATTAATCTCATGACAATGATAATTGTTGTATTGAAAATATTATATATGTATGAGTATTCTTTGATTACGGGGAATATATAAAATATATCGAAGTTGAGGGCGAATATCGCCAGAGTTTTTTTATAAATTTGAAGCAAAGTCCAAGTAAAAATATAATACGGTTAACAGTTCAGATTCTTTTTCATAAATACTAAATAGATTTTTCGCGAGAAAAATATATTGCTCACACATTTAATTTTAATACGACTTCCATCACTCATATGGGGTGATTAGAGATACATACATTTCCTTGAGCTTTGATTTACAAAAATAGTTTTGTAATTACCATTTGATTCCATAGGTATCTTTATTTTTATCAAACTTTATTCGTATTAATAATAATATTCTTCGAGAAGCGTCGAAACGATAATGATAATGTATATCATGTTTACAAAGTTAAATTAATCAGTGAAAAATAATGACTAATTGGCTCACTGTTCGTAAACTGCATTTAATAATATTAATTAGTTAATCCTTTAATAAATTAATTATATTAGAGCTAATAAATAAACTTCGAATTTTTGTCCGGCTTTACATTGGTGAGCTAAGTAATAAAGCAGTCTGCCAACATTAAATAAAAGCGGTAATTTCGAAGCTCACATTAGTTGCGAAGAATCCAATAATAAAATTGTTCTAGAATCAATTCGCCAATTCCAGTCCAATAATTCTGTTATTATCTATCATCCTTGCAATGTCTCACAGAATTTCAGTCTTACAAAAAAATAGTCTCAACCATTAAATTCTTGCCATTTTATCAGCCATGTGATCCACCCTTAATATTTCCCATCTAGCCAGTGAACGTCGAACACGCGATGTAACATTCTGTTCGTAACTATAGCAGGAGAAGCGCATTTAGGATTGGAAGGTTTCTGAGAAGAGAGTCGTGATTATCGACGTAATTACAACTACGAGTTTATCCATTTAGTTCCGTAGAATTAAAGTTGAATGCGAGGATAATTGAAAAGTGAATTAAACATCAATTTGCCAAGTGTCAGGCAAACGAGGAGGTAAGAACCTCAAAAGTCAGCATCGTTTCCATCGAAAAAGACTACGATGCTGGACTATTCGACTGCTGCGATAAGTTTATGAAGAGAACAAGATAAATTACATAACGCTATTATTATGTCCATCGTTTGTGAATTAATCTTGGATACTATGCCGCGCTGCCTTCAATGTCAAATCTCTGGAAAAATCCAGGAATCCTTGAACAACCCTGAATTAGAGGTTATGAATTCAAGAGGACGGGACCTTCACTCGGATGAGGTTCGAGCAGGCTGATTAGTTGAAAGGTGACAGGTAAATTATTGTTTTTCTTTCATGAAATAAGATCGATTAGATATCCCACAATTTTTATAATTTTTCTACAATCCATTTCACTTTAGGTAGAGTCCTTGTAGTCACATGCTATGGTGTTTTGATCCGAATAGATACGGAATATTTATAACAATATTTGCCTTCATTCATTTTATCAATTTATTTAGTAACTGTGGGTGCTTGGGCGTCATTCATACTTCACGCATACCATTGTTAGGCTTTGTATTACGTTCGTTTACGTCTACTCGTGCAATATTGCGACAGTGTTTCCTGCTCCTTGTAGATGGCGCCTGTTAAAAGATAAGGAATTATATAGGTGGATAATATTATTTCTTATGAATGTAATAATACGCGTATTATATCAATCGCCATTCACTGTAATTATCATGAACCGTATAAAATGCTACAAGTCGACTAACACACTTATCTTATTACATCAGTCTTCCTGAGAAATTATGTATACGGGTTAACTAGTCGTTAACCTGTTCTAAAGCTTAGCCACATAGTGTAGTTAGTGTCGGATTTCGAATGTGTGTAATGTCTAGCTCAGTCCACTCATTTGCCTGCTGTCAATTTTTCAAAACGTCATGCGGATTTGCAAATAGGACAGTGAAAGGAATACTCGAAGAACATTGGAGTCTGAATTTGATACCCACCACGTGGTTAACTCAAGGGCATAATTTTAACAAGACGTCTGTATTAAAGCTCATTAAAAAAGAGGGTAAAAATTGAATCGTACATTAATTAGACCCTCTTATGTGGATAAGACAGCTACGTTTAAAACAACATAATTTTATTTATTTCCACTCTTGATGAATGAAGAGTACGTTTATTTTTCTTTATAACATATTTTTTTGCTGAGTCAATGAACTGCTTTCGTTCATTTACTAAGATCCTTCTAAGCCCAGGGCATAAAGTATTCAATTGATTGTCTAAAATTTTCTTAAAGTTGAAGATTCACGAGAAAAAAATCATGCTGGTTGTTGATGGCTAGTAGTAATGAGGAGTAATGAATTTTTGTAATAAAAATTATTTTTAATACAAATGAATTCAATATCAACGGAAGCAGCATGACGCAACGCGTATAGATAAAAATTTATATAGTAGGAAAAAGAATGCAAATGATATCTCTACGTAATTGTACCTAGTTTAATTCTTTATGATTACAATTAAATCTGCATGACACTGCTGACCATTCGTTTGTTGTAATCTTTGATCTTTGAAATCTGTTTTACCTACTGACGATAACTTCATTTTTCTGTAACTCTTGATAATCACCACGTGCGGCTTATGGACACTAATTAATGGCAATGCTTTCGTGTTATTGGCAATTCTACTTGAAAAACTATTCAAGATTCTGCGAAGTATTGCGTCAGGTGTATATTGTATACATACACAAATAACGCAGGGACGGCGCATCTATTTTTATCCTCAGTTCCCCCGTGAATAGGATTAAGCGATTCAAAACGTTAGACACTTTCGAAATCAAATAAATAACATAAAGAATCCTTAATGGCCCCAATTAAGTAAAGGAACGTCGAAAATATGTCGTCGGAACGATACTGATTAATATTTATCAACTATCAACGAAAAAACAAAATATACAACATCATTAAATTCCAATAAACTGTAATAGTCACGTCTGACGATAAATCCTAAAGAATAAATTTTTAAAGAAACATTTTTTTAATTCCATTTTTTTTCTTTTTTCTACCATTATCAAATCTTTTAAATTGCACAGTTCTCAGATATTCACACTTCACCTCTTTTTACGAATGTCACGCGCACTTTTTGTTCTATATATAGAAACTGTCTCCGTATTATCAAGTATACAAAAAGAATTGCGAATAGATATGGCTGTTATAAGCTACATGTAGATATTAAATAGAACCGTCATTGCCAATCATGACGCATCATTATAAATGTCCACTATACGAAAGTAGGGTTTCGAATTTCAATTATTTTAAGCTTCCTTAAAATTAAGTAAACCATGTACACATGCATATATATTTACGTATGAATGTTCTCAGAAAACTTTTGACGATAAGCCATGTAGCTTTTATTTATCTGTCGCGGTGTGAGATCTATATGCACACGTAAGCAAATCACACACAGCCGGCTTTACAAGATAGTAAAGTTGCCCGTTGGCGTTTCTTTACGTGGGATTTCAGTTGGACGCCGGCCGGCATTGTGTAAGGAAGGAGGATACGCGCGCTCCGTATTTTTTTTACCTCGTGCGACATTTTGACATCAAAGGATTGTTTGCCCACGACAAGAAATTCGATACCAGGGTAAGATTGAGATTAGAACGGTCAATTTAAATTAATATAACAATTGCATATTTGCATCCAATCGATCACGAGTGACGTATCAAATATCGATTAATTTACGTAACGCTATACCGATCGGAGGTAATCATTCACTCGTAATGTTTGGACGCTTAGTTATATATATATTTTTTAATTCTTTAGTTCCCTCCTTGACAAGAAAAATAGAAAAATAATACTTAGCGATCTTAATCTTTTTATTTTTCCTTAAACGTTCAATTTTCCTAATTTATAACTCCACATCTTCAGTCATGATTCCAGGTACGTCATTTGAGTTTCACAGTGAATTTTTATTACCGTAGCCGAACAGAGAATGACGTATATTGTATTATGTAAAATCATGCTGACTGTACGAGTATTGCATTATTTCAATATTGCGCGAACAACAATAGACCTAATGTAAAACTAAATTTTCTAGGTAACGATTAACCTTTCGAATACCGACAATTTTTCATGAAAAATGAAAAATATATATATATATATATATATATAAGGATTTAAAGGTACAAAAATATTGAAGAGTAAAAACAAGATATTTTTACTAGCACAGGATGTGATATTATCGAAGGATAATAATCGTGCGTCATAAATTCTGCGACGTTAAATTTCTTTGGAGTCTGTGAAATTTCCTTGAATTCTGTTTCCCGCTAAATGCTCCATTTGACTGGGCAAGAAGGAAGTTGCCTTGACTACGTTAGTCATAGAGACACTTGAGAAATTCTACCGAGGATTAATAAAGCAAGCTCGTTCATTCAAATTTCTCAACAAAATAATCCGGAATCTCGAGCAAAGCAAATAATCCAGACGGAAACCTCTGGTAAAGTAATTCTTTACAATCTAGAATACACAATTATATATCAAAGTGATCTTTGGACACTCCGAGTATCTTGTGCCACGAAGAGTCATTATTGAATAAATTTTTTTTCCTAGCGCAATAGCAAAAAACAGCTACACATTATACAAGCATTGAAATTACTATACAATGGTCTCATTTATCTCTTACAGGTAGATATTGACAATAGAATCTATCGATCTTTCTTCATAATACACTTTGCAATTCATCATCCATTCTATCCTAACACTACGTTTGGTCGTACCTGGTAGCAATACGTAGAGCAATAGGTACTAGGTATTAATATCAGTAGCAGTAATAGTACAAGGGGGACTTGTTACCATGGTAACCATAAGCGACAAACAATTGGCCTGTAAAAATGGCGGATAAGATATCGCTCTATGTGTATAGGCTCTATATATATGTATGGTAACTAAAATAACAACAAAAGAAGAATCATCCATCACAAGCGTCGACATAAGGCTCACCGTTGTACAATATGTAGGATCGATACATCGAACCAGCCATGACCTAGCTGACCCAGGATGGTCCTTGAGTAACGACGTAGATTGAGGATTGACAAGCAGCGAGCACGTGGTCACCTTACAATTCCCATGCGTATATATTACGGATATTTAAGAAAATAATAATAACAATCACGACATCGTCCCTTTGCTGAAGTCTAATTGAATTCACGTAGAATTATTTATGATGGATGAATTATTCATTGTGCCCATCGGATACAGTCGCGTGAATGAAACGTGCGCGCCAAATAGTGCATAAAATATGTTTCAGGTCGTGTTTCCTTCTCTGATCACATTTTTTCCCCCCTCCTTTCAGTCTCTATATACCGAAGGCTAAACAGCTTAAAGGTCAGTGTTACGTTTGCTCGAGATAGACGTAACTTCACGTGTAATTATAATCGCTGGGACATTGATCGTCGCACGAGTGTATTTTATCTTAGGACGATTAAAGTAGATGAGGGATCATTTTTTATTAATCTTATCAGCCGGCATTGATAAGGATGTAATTACTTCTTTGACTAACCGGATTTGCTGAAAGTCCGATCACTCTTGAGTAACATGAAATTATTGGGCAGTCAAGTTTCATATTTTTTGGACGGATAAGCATCGCCTGTCTAGTCGTTATTTTTGCGCAATGTGACGTTATTAATTTTTCTTACTGCGCAATCGTTCACACGACGAATAGGCTTGCAAATCGCGCTGACTGATAATATTACGATCTTTTATGACCTTGACGTGCTTTATTACCTTTTTTTTTTTTAATAACTTCTTAACCACAACCGGGAATCAACGTCTACCAGATGTTCAGTTATCTGCGGCTAGAGAGAAAAGAGAGTTGTGCACGTTCAAAAGACGTGCAAGGTTCGCTGGGTTTTGGTCTTAAAGTGATTTGTTAGGTGACAGTTTGGGTTCGCGCGATCACCGATTAAACGCCGGGTTAAATGATTGAGTAAAACATTTGTTTCGTGTGAATTGGTCTTCCATAGTGGATGATGTCAATGATCGGTGTAGTATTATATACGTATGTGCCATTTGTTTTACATATTGGGAATATTAATGTAGATTTTCAAATAGCGCTTGTCGATAATATGATACCGTGGATAGCTTGACGTGCTTTAATAATTTTTAATTATTTTTTTTTAAATATTCACTATGCTTGAATTAGTCCTTAATGGGTGATAGTAATGATTATATTAGATTCTGTGGGCCTAAGCATGAAATAGGCTAGACTTATAATATTGACCTGATTTTGACGCTCCGTCGATTCCAAGTTCACTACTTTTATTATTGTATAATATTTTGTTCGTGTTATAAAGAAATAATAATTTCTTATGTGAAGTTTATGGACTCGCCTTGATACGGATCAAGTAAAAACAGAGGGAATTGGTTGCACGTTATTTCTACGGTATTGATAAAATCTGTGAAACGTACCGCTTACCTTATCAGACGTATATACTTTTTATTAACGTCAATGTTAATCAATTTCATTGTCCAATAGAATCTTGGTAGAGTATCCCCACTTTTTTCCTTTCTTTTACCCTTAACGTTAAATACGGGATTGCTGTGTGCCAGTTGATTCTTGTAGAAGCAAGAGTTTACAACTCTTTCTTATCTTTGTACAATTCAGTCACGGCAGTCAATGAGATATCTGTCTAATATCAAATAACATTGTTCCAGAAGGAAAAAGTGTTGGGAGAATCAGAATACTGTGAATTCCTGAAAATGATTCAAGATAACGATTGTGGGACTAGAGAGATGGATGAGATCTATAAGGAAGTTGTCATTGTGGGTAAGTAAATGATGATTGAGGGTAAAATAAGAGTATGATAATTTGGTGATTTTTTAATTGAGAGTGCATTTTTTTTAGGAAATGGACCAAGTGGTATTTGTCTGTCTTATATGCTTGCTGGGAATTGGCCGTATTATACAGGAGAACCACATCCTGGTGATGAGATGCTCACCGCCAGGTTACATTTCAGTACCAGAGCGGCTTCTACGGATAATATCTTAGAGAATGATGGTGGTGATGGTGGTACTCTTGGTAGATCTTGTAAAAGGGATAAGATTGGTCTGGCTCATAGTACCAGATGTGGCTTAGAATGTCTATCTTCCGGTTTGGAAGGTAGATCTGGTGGGAGACCTCTTGCTCTTCTTATGGATCAACTTCAGCATCCGTGTGTAGACGCTGGACTTGATCTTCCATCTTTACTAACTTGGAAATCTGTTGAAGACCATCCTGAGCACAAGATTATTGATCATGTTGTTCTGGGCAAGGGACCTCCTGGTGGTGCTTGGCAGGTAGTTAAATAGTTATTTAAAATAGAATCAGGAATAAGTGGTATGATATTATTGAGATTTTGATAACAGTTTAAATGTTTCATATAAAATAATTTAAAATTTATCATTGTACTTGATTATTGGATAATTTATGGCAGTAAAGTGAGTTATCACTTGATTAGGAATGGAAGTATTTTTATTGTACCAAGTTATTTTTCGCTGGTGAATTATTTATGATGTGATAAAAAGCAATCAAATTTTTTAATTAATCATACCTTTCACGAGTCAGTTAGTGATAATACATTGTTTCTATTAATACTGTTACAGTCTATGGATCCAAACGTATTAACCATAAGTTTGAGTCGATGGATGTCTCTACCAGGATTAGATTTGAGAAAATGGGAGCAACTTATCGAGTCTGAACAAACAGACAAATGTCACTCTCAGGAAAAAGCCAGTTGTAAAGCAGCCAGTAGAGTGTCTGTAGGAACAGTAGCAGCTTATTACAAAGATTATGTTCTCAGACAGGGTCTTCAAAAATACTTTAGAAGGTTGGTACAGTGAATTATCATATCATTTACAAGAATGGATATCTTAAATTGTTTATTTTCCGATTTGCAATCTCGTAAGAATAATTATTTCTTTATTCGCAGTGGTACAACAGTCACGTCTGCAAAGCCTGTTTCCACAGAAAATGAAGGTGAAACCGAATGGATAGTAGAAGGTTTTGAAAATGAGACTGGAAAAAAATTCCGGTATCGATGTCGAAGGTTAGTCCTCGCTACAGGAACTACCGATTCATCTAATCGACTTGGTATACCTGGCGAGGAATCCGAGACTTCCTGGGTAACACACGATTTGAATGATCTTGAAAGCAGGCTGGACCTATTAGCCAGTAAATATAACTTTTGTTTTAATCATCAATAAGTTCTTCGAGAAAGACACCTATTGTATTATAAAACTGTAAAATATTTTATTTAACCCGTAGAGGAGTTTTCGGTCGATCCTGTGCTAGTCGTCGGTGCTGGTCTGAGTGCTGCTGATGCCGTCATAGCAGCTCGTTTCCGTGGAATTCCAGTGCTACACGCATTTCGCGATTCTTCTGGAGATTCTTGGAGAAAGGATAATGACGAGGATGCTGGTATAAAACTAGGCGGCAGTGGTTACGATAGACTACAATGGCTGCCTGCCTCCATTTATCCAGAGTATCATAAAGTTTACGAGATGATGGCCGATGGAGGTACCAATTATCCTCTGTACAAGGCGTTACCTGGATATAACCTTGTCGAACTGGGTAACAGTTCAAATAAAACGGTTACACTTTGCGCTCCAAATGGACGGCTGGAGACGTATTGTGTATCAGTTGCAGCTATACTCATAGGTAAAATATAAATTGATATCAATCTATTAAAATCTCAATCACACAATCCACTGTTAGATTAAAGAAATTCTTCAATTTTTTATTCTAGGATCAAAACCTGATCTGTCTTACCTTGAAAATGGGGGTCTCGGATTGGGCAAGAATCCTATAAAACCAGTAGACAGCAGATCAAATCCTATTGAAATAGACAATTATACTTACGAAGTGACTCAGGCACCTGGTAAAAATCTTTACGCCATGGGTCCTCTAGTCGGTGACAATTTTGTGAGGTTCGTTCTGGGTGGAGCTTTTGGTATTCTGACTCACATTCTTCACACCAGTAATACATGAAAATCGACAGTCGTATGAATGACACTCTTTAATCATACGATTAGTTTGCTCAAGTCATGCACGCGCAGCGAGATCTGAGCTTTGAACAATTTACTTTTAAAAGAATTCTACCATAGGTCGATTTCCTGCGCATTTGTAAATATATTTAAAATTATTTTTGTATTACTTTTTAACGAGAATGATTTTGTAGTTATTAGTACAATAACAAGCTCGCCATAATTCCCTGTGACGTATCCGAATATCTTGAAGTTGAGAAACGAGCGTTTCAATGAAACCGATGGCAATTTATTATACGAAAATAATAATTTGAGGAAATTATTCTGTATAACGTATTACAGATCATAAATCAATATGCTATGATTCTACTTTGATATTTTAATACGAAACGATCTCGTTTCTTCGCTTTGAGTTTGTTTAGAGAACAGAATTGTAAGCAACATTTACTAGGCTACATTTTAGAGGAGCTTCCTACCTCAAGCCCTGGATGGCAATGTCGAGAAAAATAAACATATTTATTATATACAGACATATATTATATACAAACACTCATATCTATATCGATATATCCGTTCGATTCATATTAATTATTTAGATAGCGTTGTATGCCTCTGAATTTTATTTGATTAGGAATATATTACACTTTCACGACGTTATCTTTCAAAAAAGCTGGATAATCTCAATGGAATTTATCATTCTCAATGAACTACATTTATTGATTTCGTTATACGTATTAATTTATAGGATTCTATTGTCTATATTTTTTCTATACCGATATTATCGACCGCTCAGTCATTGTAATAATACAAATCATAATAATACAGAGCGTTAATTACTGCTTCATTGGATTAACGTTGTTCATTTGTTTTAAAGTACTCGAGAACACTGTATTGTCATTGCCGTATGAATCGAACAGAATTGTTGAGCCTGGCACTAATGTTGTTAAAGAATACGTGGACCTGCAGAATGAATAATTAAAGAAATTATCAATCATGAATTGATCAACCGCGAAGCGTAACGCTTAATCATTCAATTATTTTAAGCATCCCGTATTTTCGATTTAGAGATTAATATAAATTCATAAAGCGACACAAATGTATCTTATGAAAAGTACCTATCCATAGCGTTACGTTTTTCTTTTTGATTTTAATTTTTTTTTTTCATGGATACTTCAACGTTGTAGCTCTAGCAGAGCTTAGTGAATGAATTGGAATTGCGACGGTTTCCCTTGAATAATTATTTCATGACATAAGGGAATGATATGATGCGATAACTGCAAGTACTTAGTCTGTGATAAGAAGTGCGATATATTGAAATATTCGCAGTGACGTTACAATGTACGAAACTTAATTGTTGAGCACTTAAGGAAATTAAACAGCCGATTATTAAAATACCTAGAATGTGAGTAGCCTCAACCATATGTACATTCTCGAATTTAGTTTATTGTTATATTACATTATACTGATTGACTATGTTTTTATTCGGTATATTACGTAGGGTCTAGGTCAAATGGTGTTAATGCGTATATCATTGTCACTCATGGTCAAATTTTTTTATATCTGTTTGATTGACATTTTATGCACCTATGTCTTATATTGTCACAATCACATATTTTTCAGTTACTACGGAATTTATTATCATATTACATATTTTATTTTTCCATGTATTCTGGGTTCGTGGACTACTCCTGAAACTATAATAGTAGTCGCAAACGTATTAATGAAGTAGTACTTAGGGTTTGATTAACGGCTTTTATTCATAAAGGAGTGTCTCGTAGAGTTTGGCGACTTAATAAAAGAGGGACAGAAATAGTATGTTATAACAATAAATAACCACATTTTGTTATCATGATAGTAATTGTCCAATGTCATTCACTAAAATATATATAACAGACATTCATTACATATTTTACACTTGCAACAAAGTACATTATTCATTTAATTATACACAATCATGGAACGTATTGGTATTCCTTTTCTTGATATTAATCTTTACATTACAGTTACAAATTCAAAAAATAATTATTAGGGTATTTTCTTGTAAGAAAGCCTAATTACACAGTTTGTGTCATTAGGGATTTGCCATCTTTTCCCTACAGTGTTTTATTACATGTATCAAGCACATTTCACTGAGAAAACTGTATACTGGTAACAAAGACAATTTAAAAAACAATTGAAATAAAAAAAGTATTTTTACAACCTCGCGAACGCTTTTTTCGAAATCATAAAGGTTCTTACTGATTTAACTTATATAATTTACATAGAAGAGGCAAACATTATTTTATCGATTAGTGATCAAAATCATAGAAAAAAAATTACTTTGTGATTCATTAAGCAATATGCCGTAACCGTTATGATGTATTTATACATTGTATAGAATGATTTGAAAGAGACAATGAATAAGTTAACATTACTATCTATTAGGTTTTAAATAAAATAAAAAGGAAGCTTAGTAGAATAATAGAAGCTGCGAGGACCATTATACAGTATAGTTTGCGATTAGCTTTTTGATAGGAGTCAGCCTTTTTTAATTGTTTGTAACCTTCATACACCTGTACTTGTGTTTGCTCAATATTATAGTCAATTCTATCCAGAATGGTACCTTGATCTTGCACCATATTTGCAAGGTCCTGTGCATAATAAGAACAAGAGCTTGCTTGTGTTTACTTGGAAGTTATTATTGCACTTTATTATAGTAAGATGGAGACATACCTTGAATATATGATTGAGATCCGATATGCTTTGAACTATGTGTCCAACTTCCTTTTCTCTCTCTTCGGCTAATCGCATCCTCTGTTCAGGATCATCTATTTGTAACAACACAGATTCCTGTTGCCGTGGACCCTGTTGCCAATAATCTGAACTATTTTCTTCGTAGGATGGTTCTGACAACCATGAATCTGTTGTAACATTTCTTAACAGGGTTTCATCCTCTGTAAAGTACTGTCTATTTCGTTCTTCTCTAGAATTTATCTCTGTTTCAAAGGATTTAAAAATTAATTAAGAATTCACAATTAAATGGAGCAGAATAATCAACTGTTCATACGTTGCAAATAATTAGCCTGGGAGGTTCGATAACGAAGTCCCAAGTCTTGTAGCGCAGAAGACAAAGCCAAAACTGCACTGTTAGCTAATTGACGCTCTGCTGGCCGTGTTTCATGTCTTGCTGCTGCTTTAACAATTTGTACTTGCTGATATCCACTTGAAAATGCTCTACCAATTTCTCTAGTAAGTTGTTCCATTTGTCTTTCCTCCTAAAAGTAGTAGACATACTGTTGATTCTATTGATCATCATTATAAACTGCAATACGATTGTTCTTACTTGTGATGTATCATCGAGTGTAGGTCTAGTGAGCTGCTTTGCATGCAGTTCAGACAAATTATCTATTTTGATACGTAGACGACTTAGAATATACTGAGTCTCCTCAAGTGCATCTGTCCATGCAGGAGGTGTTCCATCGTTTGTATTTGTACCTTTAAGCTCAACACTGTCAGGTCTAGAGCTATCAGGTCCTACCAAGGCCATTCTATCAGATAGGTTCTGTAGCAGAGAATTGATAATAATGATTTTTAAAATAACGGATTAAAATCAAACACGTATAATGGATTAGGTATATTAGATATGTAAAGGAGTACCTGCTCAGCATAGATGTGTTTGCTTTGCAGAGCATTGTTTCGCATAAGAATGAACGGTTCTGTAAGATTTCGCGTTGCCATTTTTTCGGCTTTACAATTCGACTCTTCCAGTAGGATCTTCAGATTATAGACTCATTTTGGATTGAATATTATTGCAAGATTGTCCTACCCTCGGCAGTTCATCTGTCATCATCTGTCATCCTCAAACAGCTGATGCCAGCTGATCGAAGTGAACGTAAAAATTCCACTAGAATTTACCTATATGGTGCCATAGTAGTATCATCAAAGATGAGTAGGGAGATGCACAACGCTACGGTTTTAGGCGATACCAAAAACATAGCGCTAAATCGTAGCGGCGATTCCAGGAGTAGGATTTTGTGATCATTGCCTCCGTGGATAATGTATATCCCGTCATAGCCAAGCTAAACGAGAATACGAACGTATAGCTTAGAGGACAGAGATTTTCCGCTACTCACCGCTGGTTCCTAAAGCAACCCTTAAAACGAGACCGCGAACAATAGAACTCCTCAAGAACTATTGGAAAAGCCTATTGTTGAAACATTTTTAAGACATTTTTAAGAAAGTGCAGTGCCAACTTGATACCCGTGTAGCACCTCAATTTTTACTAAATATTATTGGATCTTGATTTACTTTCAAAATTTATTCAAAATATAAAATTGAAGTTAAATCAAAATCTCGCAGAATATATGGAGTAGATAAAAACAGAATTGAAATTGTAGATTATCGAAAATAAGTACGTTAAAATTGAAATATTAATAAATTAGGTGTTTGGAACATTAAAATAAATAATGAAATGATTAAAGTAAAATATTTACACTTAGAGATCGGAAATTCTGACCACGTATATTTAGATGTACTGGACGTTGCCCAAAAATGTATGCGCGCAAATTCGTCGCGCAGGAATCGGCGAGATGGAGCAAGCGGAGAGTAGAGGGAGCGCTCGAGGCAGTGCCCGAACTCTGAGCGCTTATTCATCCTTGAGCCGGTCTCCTATACTGGTCTCTTGGAATTACCTCTCTTATCCATTTCCAACTTCTATTTCTATATTTATTTGTTTTGTACTTCCTTATTTCCTTATATTTGATTCTTTACTTTCTGAATTACTTCTTCCTTTATTTCTTCTGTACTTTTATACCCCCAGTCCTTACTTTTTTACTTTTTAACTTCTTAAATTTTATCTTCCTTTATAACTTCTCGTTTTTATATTTATTTCTTCTTTACTTCTTTATTTCTTTATCTTTCATTCTTCACTTTCTCATTTTTCTCTTTCCTCATTTCTTCTCCACTTTTATAACTTTATTCCTTACTTTCCTACTTCTTCACTTCTTCATTTCTATATTAATTTCTTTCTTATTCTCTTATTCTTACTTCTTCATTTCTATATCCATTCACATCCTTCTTCTTCTTCTTTATTTATTTCTTCATTACTTTCTTATTTCTTTATATTTCATTCTTTACTTTCTGATTTATCTCTTTCCTTTTTTCTTCTCTACTTTTACTACCATCTCTGTTTCTCACTCTTTCTTTATAACAATCTTCATCTTTTTCCCTTCAACATCTTCCCTGTCTGCTGCCAACAAACGTTTCTACTTAATTTTTGAATTTCCTATTCCTTTCTATGTCTCCATGCGTCTCTCCTCCTAATATATCCTTAAAAACTAAGTTTTTAAAATGTCTTTTGGAAAAATAAAAGTTTGAAGTGGTAGCGCATGTAACATACCACACGTATATTATATTGCATTGATATATTTTAATGTATCTCTAATGGTATTGTTATTGCTAATCTTGTGTAAACCATATATGTATATCTGTACTTCGTATACTGTATCATTATTGCATTTTTCGAATAAATTATCTTGTAACACTTATACACTTTTTGAATCTCCTATTCCTTCCTATACCTCCGTCACTCTCCTCCTAGTATATTCTTAAAAACTAAGTTTTTAAAATGTCTTTTGGAAAAATAAAAGTTTGAAGTGGTAGCGCATGTAACATACCACACGTATATTATATTGCATTGATATATTTTAATGTATCTCTAATGGTATTGTTATTGCTAATCTTGTGTAAACCATATATGTATATCTGTACTTCGTATACTGTATCATTATTGCATTTTTCGAATAAATTATCTTGTAACACTTATACACTTTTTGAATCTCCTATTCCTTCCTATACCTCCGTCACTCTCCTCCTAGTATATTCTTAAAAACTAAGTTTTTAAAATGTCTTTTGGAAAAAGAAAAGTTTAAAGTTGTAGCGCATGTAACATACCACGCGTATATTATATTGCAGTGATATATGTAATATATCTTTAATGGTACTGTTATTACAAATCTTTCGCGGGCTGTATGTGTATGTCTGTATGCATGTCTGCACTTTGTATACTATATACGTTATATGTCTGTATGTATGTCTACACTTTGTATACTGTATCATTATTACGTTTGTCGAATAAATTATCTTTAAACACTTATACACGTTGATATTCTTTTGCCCTATGCGAATATCCCA